CAGATCATGGGAGGACAACAGTCCTTCAAGCGCGACTTAAAACGACATACTCCGCACAGGGTTGGCCAGACAAAATCGTCTGAGCCGCCTGAGGAGCAATCGCCTGCAAGGTGACTTGCCTGCGAGGTAACTTGCTTGCAGGAGCACTTGCGCGCAGGCTAACCTTCCTTTTCGAGCCCGCCTGCTGTTGCCTACCTTGTGTGTATATAGTCTTTACTGTATATCGGGCGGCGGGCTCACGCTTCGTCGCCTCCCCCCCGGATCTAAAGGAGGCTGGGGCAAAGGCGAGAGATAGCGAACGTTTGTCCGCGGCCGCTTGTTCTCAAGCGGCCAGCCGCCAACAGATGACTGCGCGTCATCGCGAGGCGCATTGCTTGCCATCGAGACCGAAAACCTATTCGTTTGACTTGGCCCGTCGCTCCTGCGACGATCTCTCACTTCTGCGATTATCGCTATTACGGTACAGCAGAGTTGGATACGGGCTTCGCCTTAGGCGAAGCTCCTGGTTGGGCCTCCCAGCCACCGTAAAACTCATGCAGGCAACCAAACCGCCGGCTACATCCCAAGCCTCTGGGCGCGAACGGGCCCGTGCAATACCCCTTGGCGCCCCCCCTGGGTGTGCGAAAACCCGCGCCTCGCTCGCGACATCCTCATACTCTGCTCCGGCCGCGGAGGATGTCGGGCATGCGCGCAGGCAAACCGCTCGGGACATCCCCGCAATCTGGGCGCGAACGGGCCCGCGCAATACACCCTGGCGCCCCCGTTGGACGCGCGAAAACCAGCGCCTCACTCGACGCATCATCAAACTCTGCGCTGCCATTCTTCTCATCATCATCATCATCATCACCATTATCATTTCCATCATCACCATCACCATCATCATCATCACCACCACCGTTGTCTTTATCATCACCACCATCAACATCATCATTATTATTATTTTTGTCATCATAGTGTTGTCAGCGCTGTCATCAACAGAGTCATCCTTACCATCATAAGCATCATCATACTCATTAACGTCACCATCATTATCATCATAATCGTCGCCGGCATCATCATCAACGTCATCATCATGGCGTCATTATCGTCACTGCGATGGGCCGATGCCCGAAGCATTGCTTGCAGTGCCTCAAAGCAGGCACGGAGACCAAGGACGCGCCAAGAGCCCTCTCACTGAAGCTCAGAAAGACCACGAGAGGGCCTGGTCTCAGACCGACGTCCTACGACGAGGGATTCGAGGCAAGTTCCAACCTTCCTACAGCCAAGCACTACTGAGTGTACTCTTTTGGGGCACATCAGTTGGATGCGACAGATGATGGGGCGAGGTATTGGGCATGGTGCACAGTGGTGTGACACTCGCGACATGGATGCGGGCGGCCACACCAAAGGGAGCATCGACAGAGATATGCTCTTACAGATCATGGGAGGACAACAGTCCTTCAAGCGCGACTTAAAACGACATACTCCGCACAGGGTTGGCCAGACAAAATCGTCTGAGCCGCCTGAGGAGCAATCGCCTGCAAGGTGACTTGCCTGCGAGGTAACTTGCTTGCAGGAGCACTTGCGCGCAGGCTAACCTTCCTTTTCGAGCCCGCCTGCTGTTGCCTACCTTGTGTGTATATAGTCTTTACTGTATATCGGGCGGCGGGCTCACGCTTCGTCGCCTCCCCCCCGGATCTAAAGGAGGCTGGGGCAAAGGCGAGAGATAGCGAACGTTTGTCCGCGGCCGCTTGTTCTCAAGCGGCCAGCCGCCAACAGATGACTGCGCGTCATCGCGAGGCGCATTGCTTGCCATCGAGACCGAAAACCTATTCGTTTGACTTGGCCCGTCGCTCCTGCGACGATCTCTCACTTCTGCGATTATCGCTATTACGGTACAGCAGAGTTGGATACGGGCTTCGCCTTAGGCGAAGCTCCTGGTTGGGCCTCCCAGCCACCGTAAAACTCATGCAGGCAACCAAACCGCCGGCTACATCCCAAGCCTCTGGGCGCGAACGGGCCCGTGCAATACCCCTTGGCGCCCCCCCTGGGTGTGCGAAAACCCGCGCCTCGCTCGCGACATCCTCATACTCTGCTCCGGCCGCGGAGGATGTCGGGCATGCGCGCAGGCAAACCGCTCGGGACATCCCCGCAATCTGGGCGCGAACGGGCCCGCGCAATACACCCTGGCGCCCCCGTTGGACGCGCGAAAACCAGCGCCTCACTCGACGCATCATCAAACTCTGCGCTGCCATTCTTCTCATCATCATCATCATCATCATCACCATTATCATTTCCATCATCACCATCACCATCATCATCATCACCACCACCGTTGTCTTTATCATCACCACCATCAACATCATCATTATTATTATTTTTGTCATCATAGTGTTGTCAGCGCTGTCATCAACAGAGTCATCCTTACCATCATAAGCATCATCATACTCATTAACGTCACCATCATTATCATCATAATCGTCGCCGGCATCATCATCAACGTCATCATCATGGCGTCATTATCGTCACCACGTCCCTCGTCACCATCATCAATTCTCATCACCAGCGTCGTCATCATCATCCTCATCACCATTACCAGCATCCTGGCGTCGCTCGGACGTGTGCGTTTTTCTCGGCGAGGACCATCGAGAGACCCTGGGTAATCCAGGAAACACCATGCACAGAACCGACACATGCACGGGGAATGGAGGTCCGACAGATGGCGAGACATCATCAGCGTCATCGTCATTGGTCATCATCATCATCAGCATCACCACAACCATCATCCACATCACCACCATCATCATCAGCATCATCATTGCCAATGCCATCAGCATCCTCATCGTCACCATATACCAGTCGTGGCAGCATCCACTAACATCATCAGCATCATCATCTTCATCATCATCAGCATCGTCATCATCATCCATGAAAATTGGAACGATACAGAGAAGATTAGCATGGCCCCTGCGCAAGGATGACACGCACAAATCATCAGCATCGTCATCATCATCACCATCACCAGCATCAACCTCACATTGTCCATCTTCATCATCATCATCACCACCTTTATCGTCGTTATCTTCATTAGCATCAATACCGTCATCATTTATCGATTGTGGCAGTATAAACGAAGATCATCATCATCATATCATCATCATCATCAGCAGCATCACCAGCATCATCATTCTCACCATCATCAATATCATCAGTATCATCATTATCATCGTTACCATAAGTATCATCACTGTCCTCATCACGAGCATCATCAACATCACCATCACCATCACCGCCATCATCATCACCATCATCATCAGCACCAGCATCGGCATCACCACCATCGCCGATGCCATCCTCATATTATCATCATTATCATCATCGTCTTCATCATCATCACCTAATAACCGAAGTAGTGACCTTGAGTGTGACTCTTGGTGAGGAAGAGGACGAGGAGGAGGAGGAAGAGGAGGGAGGTGAGTGAGTAAGGAGTCTGCGCGGTAAGAGTAATCACAAGAACCCCATCCTTAGGATACGGGATATGGGGAACAAGAACCCCACCCTCAGGATATGGGGAACTGTTACCGGGGTCGAGGAGACATGTCGTTTCCATACTGGGTGGGTTTTAAAGACCCATCCCGGTTACGGGCGCCCGATGCCGGGTCTTGCCCGCTGTGGCAGCCGCTGCCGAGGACCTTGGCCCGCCAGGCAGGGTTGCTATGTACGCGTCCATGGCGATTCCATCGCCGTCGTCGGAAGTCCTCCTCCCTCCTCCTGCTCCTCCTCCTCCTCCTCCTCCTCCTCTCCTCTCGGGGCCCCCAGGGCAGAGGTCGGCGGGCTGGTGCAGCACCCGCGCGGCGCCCTGGGGGAACTTGAGCCTGCATAAATCTACCCCTAGTTGGGGGGGTAGTGGGTGCTGTTCGCTAAGCGGCCCGGGTTCGCCGCCCGGGCGCCGGTCTCAGCACTCGGGTCACCCCGCACCCAGGGAGGTCGGGGGAGGCTCATGGCACGTGCCACCTGGTCCCCCTTGGGCAAGGGGACTTGTGGGGGTGGTCCTGGGCACCACTAAGTCTCGCGCCAGGGGACCCACCTGGCGGCCGAGGGTGTTCCAGAGTCCCGACCTGCAGAGCAGGCGGAGGCTTGGGCGGAGGTGGCGGCATGGCTCGGCGCAAGGGCGCCGACCTGAGGCGGCCAGAGGACCGTCCTGTGGCTGAGCTGTGAGGCGGCGTAAGACTTAGCATCTGTATTTTTCTGCTGGGGGCGGCAAGGCCCGCCGTAGGTTCCCCGGAGAAGCGGCGCGTGCTGAGGCCGCTGGCCCACCTCGCCTCGGGCGCGCCGCCGCGCGCTTGGCGATGTGCCGAGACCAGGGGCATTCACTCGTGCGCGCGCGCACGCGGGTTTAAAACTCCTCTCCTCTCGGGAGGCACGCGAGGGTTTGTTCGCGGCCGGTTTCGTCTCCGCCGTTGGGCGTTTTCCCCGATGCATTTGCTGCTCTTGCGCCAGGAGGCGCCGGGGAATCTTCTACGCGAGTTGCTTTGCAAACCCGCCCCTTGCTATCGGAGGCGACGATGCGGGCGGACCAGTGGCGGGCATCACGCGTATTCGCCCAGGAGCCTCGCCGACGGCGTGGGTCATCGACGCGCTTGGATGTGTTGATCTCCTCTGGACTATTCTCCCCCATGGTCGCCCCCGATGCTGGCCCCCCTCCTCGCGTCCCCCCCTGCCCCCCCCTCCTCTTGGGCGTCGCGTGATGGGGGGGCGATAACTGGGGGGGCAGCGAGGGCTGCAGAAGACGGGCCCTTGAGGGCTCCTGAAGGGGCTCTGCAGTGCCACAACGGGGCCTTCAGGGCCCGAAAAGGTGCACCTTCCGCCCCCCCCCACTTATCGCCCCACCCTCCGCCCAATCCTCCGCAGCCGGTCTGGCTCGCGCTGGGCGCCCGACGCCCGGCTCCCGCCTCACCATGGCGGCGTAGACTCCGCCGGGTGGGCATGCCGCTCGAGATCTCCACGTCCTGGGCGGCCCCATGGCCTTCGGCGTCGAGCCCGCATTCGTGGGCGTCCCCACAGCAGTGCGGCTGCCTGCGGCAGGTGCCGCCGCCGTGCTGGCCCAGCTCCGGGGGCGGCCCTTGACAGTTTAGAGGGGGAAACAGTTCCCCCAAGCTGCTACCCTTCCCTCGTTTTCCCTTTTTTGGGCCTGCCGGGAGGCCCTCGTCGCCACCGCTCAATTCGCCTTGAAATTCTGGTCAGAACGCACCCAAGGAGGGGTCCGGGGAGTAGCCGTATCGGTACCTCTTGGTTCCCCTCATAGCAGGAGGAGTCCCGACACCTTGAGCTTCTTGTTTTGTTGCGAGGGAAGGGGGGAGGGAGGTGCATGCAACTGGGGTGTGGTGAGAGGGGGGCATGGCAGATCACGCGGGCCCTGCCAGACAGCACTCGGCACTCCACCACGCCGCGGCGTGCCGTGGGTGCACGGCGGCGGACCTAGCAGAGGCCTCGCGAGTCCCGGTGGCCACGAGCTGCAGCACAGCTCGAGCCTGCCCCTGCTGAGCTCCCTCGGCCGCGGCCTTGGCTCTCCCCTCGGCGGGGGCCAGAGCTCCCCGGGCGCGCGCAGCGCGATCGGGCTGCACAGGCACAAGTCTGGCGGCCTCCTCTGCGGGGTGTCCAAGAGGAGATCGCTTTCTCATTCGTCGTTTTGCCGATCGGCGCGGGTCCTCGCCCCCCCCCCCACTGGAAGAGGTCTTGGCTGTTTTGTGCGCCCGTTTCAAGCAGGTGGAGTCCCCCCCACAGGACGCACCGCTCCAAGGAGGCGCTGAGCCACTGAGCAGAGGTCTGGGGCCAGATGCTCCCCCCCCTCCTCCCCCGTCCGCCCACGGTCGAAACGCCGAATAAGAGAACGTTCACGAGCGCGGAAACGTTCAACACCCAGTCGCAGCAGAACCTGCACAGGCTGCTCGGGGGAAGCAGGGGCGAGGAGGACCCGTTGCGCTTGACGGCTCCGGGCAAGGAGGGCAAGAGGCGGTCGGACGACCTTGGCAAGGCTCTAGGCCTCCTGGATGGGGTCCGAGTAGATGGGGTTGATGGATCGCGCCGCATCGCCGATGCATCGACGACGCGGCTCGATGTGGAGCCCATGTTTGCCGACTTCGCCGATGCATCGCCGACGTCGCCGATGCATCGCCGATGCACCGCCGATGCATCGGCGATGCATTGACGATGCGGCGCGATCCTTCGACCCCATCCGCTCGGACACCACCTGGGAGGCTTTCAAAGGCAGAGGCCTCCGACGAGGACTTTGCGGACATGCTGGACGGTGCCCTCGGGAGCATCGCCGCACTCCGGCGCAACATGGACAACTTCGACCCCAAAGGGGGCGGCGAGCCGCGCAGCGGCCCCGCGTCGCCCGCGCGGGCGCGCGGCAGGGCGGGCGGCGCTGGCCTGTCGCGCGAGGACTCCAAGAAGCTGCGGGAGCGCATCGAGTCCTACAAGATGGTGCTCGAAGACTTTTCGGCGATAACCATAAACCTTACATGATATAACGCGGAAAATACAACCTTCTGACATCCTACAAGATGATACGCCGCGAAAAGTTGTGGCGCTCCGCGTAGATTTCTTGTATCCGCGCTGGGCCCACCTGGCGGCGCCTCCGGCGCCGCCCCTGGCACGCTCCGCGCGCTGGGGAGGGGGGGTCCAGCGCGGAACCAAATCCGCGCGGAGCGCCAAAAGTTTATGATCATGCCGTTTCTTCTCCTTCCAGGTGCGCAGGCTGGAGCCAGAGCTCCCGCCACTGCAGCAGAGCCCCCCGAAGCCCCCGAGGGAGCCCTCGCAGGCGGACATCCTGCTGCGCAACGCGTCGCCGGAGGCCCTGAGGAGGCAGTCCCTGGAGTCGAGGAAGCTGAAGATGCACCAGCACGTTCAGCTGGAGGACCTGCGGGCAGAGCTCGCCGCGTCCGCCCGCAGTGCCACCGTGGACGCCAAGGCTCGCGGCATCCTGGTGAGGCTGGAGCAGAAGTCCGAGCAGGGCGCGAGGGCGGCGGCGATGCGCCGGAACAACCAGCCGAAGCATCAGGACACGAAGGACCTGCGGAAGGAGCAGATGGTGGAGAAGTGGCTTGCGGCCTGCTTCGCCGGCGTCTTCGCTCGGCAGGTGCTGGAGGAGCTCCGCGTGCGCAGGATGTCGGACAAGGAGCGCCTGGAGTACGTGGCGAGGACGGAGCAGCTGCGCAGGGTGCGTGGGCACAACGCGAGCCCCTTCGTGCAGAGCGTCGCGCGGCAGACCCACAGCATTCAGGAGATGCACCGGCGGCCCGACATCGTCAGGAGGCTGGGGGACGCGGCCACGCGCCTGCAGTACCTGCTCCGGCGGAATCGGAGGCGGCAGGAGGCCCGATGCGTCGTGGCGTGCTTGACGGAGTGGAGGGTGGGCGGGCGCACCTTCGTGGCCTTGAAGCAGTTCGCGCAGCGCGTGGTGAAGATGCAGCAGTGGTGGCGCAGGGCGCGCGCGCGCCTGCGAGAGGCCCGCGACAGGATCTCGAAGCACTGGGAGCGCCTCGAGAGGGAGCAGGTCGGACGGGAGCTCAACAAGGCTGCGCCGCTGCCTGCGACCAGTCCGGCCGGGCGACGCAACCGCCCGCCGAGCGACCAGCGCGCCCCTCTGGAGGAGCGGGTGAAGGCAGCCATGACCCCCGAGGAAGTCCGCAACAGGTTCCTTGAGCACGAGCTGAGGGCCCGCCGCTACGCGCTGCTGCCGGCGATCCTGTGCTGGGAGGAGGACGTGGCTCAGTGGCGCACAAACTGGCTCCGCTGGATGGAGGAGCGCGAGGCGCACTGCGCCCTGGGGCTGGAGGGCACGGTCGTCGTCCCGATGCCGGTGACGACGTGGCCGCCGGTGAGGCCCTCGCACCTGCCGTGCGCCCACCTCCCCCAGGAGGTCACTCGCAACTGCGAGTGCCCCCACTGGTGCCCAGGCAGGAAAGGCGACGAGGAGATTCTCGACATGCTTCGTCGCTGCCGCGCGAGCCCGGGGATGCACAGCGGCTGGACGAAGGTGGGGGTGGGGCAGCCCCGCAGAGGCTCTGGCTCGAGCTCCCGGGCCTCCGGCGGAGCCGTCCAGAGGGACAGCAACGGCTGCGCGGAGGAGTTCGCGGTGGATAGCGAGCCCGTGGAGGAGGAGGACCGGGTTGGATGGCCATCGGGGGACGGGTGCCGGGGCTTCGAGGGGCGCACTATTCCAGCCCTCCTGTGGGACGCGGCGCGGCAGCTTCCTTGGGGCCATCCTGGGGCCATTTGTTGTGTGGCCACGTGCGGGAAGGGCGCCGCCCCTGCAGATCAGCGCCCGCCATTGATCTGGATCCGTCGAAAACGGCATAAACATAAACTTTGGAGCTCCGCGCGGATTTCTTGGACCTGCGCTGGGGCCCCCTGGCGGCGCCTCCGGCGCCGCCCCTGGCGCGCTCCGCGCGCCAGGGAGGGGGCTCCAGCGCAGATGCAATACATCCGCGCAGAGCGCAAACAGTTTATTGTTATGTTTTTTTTCTTCTTCTAACTCGGAGGAGGGGTGGCGCTTCTCTGGCCACCCCGGGCCCTCTTGAAAGTGGCACCGCAGGTGCCGAGGCAGCACCAACCTGTGGAAGCGGCGCTTTCCTTGATTGGGCGGCGAGCGAGGGTGGGGGAAATGAGAAGGAGAAGGCCTCCTCAGGAGGCGTCGGGCCTTCTCAGAAGCCCTCGCGCCTTCTGGGAAGCTTTCCGTGTCTTCGGGGAAAGCTTAGACATCTCCTCAGAAGGTTGGGGGACTTCGGAGCCTTCTACGAAGGCCCGCCGCCGACCGTTGGGCCGCGCAGAAACGTTTTAGTTTTGCCTCCGGTACCTCCCCAGTAATCGGGGGGGGGGGGGGGGCACAAGATTTGCACGCCAGCGCCGAGCCTGGCCAGGCCATTCATGGCCCAGGATTGGTGCATGCGCTTCCCGAGCCCAGCCAGAAGGGTGCACGCACCGATATTGGGCCCAGTTGTTGTTGAATGTAATTTCTCAACAATTATTATTGTTGGACCCCTTACAGGCGCCCTGGCGCTCTCGCCGAGGCGCCGGCTGCATTTTCATTGAAAATGAGGCTCGCTCTCAACCGGTTTGGGGAACCGCCAAAACCGGCCCCGCAACCGCAACAACGCTCCCGTTCGAGGCTTGCTCCTTTTTTACTCAGGGCCGGTGCTCTTGCTCGCCGCCGAAAGCAGCCGTCTCAACAAAACCAGCGCTCCCGCTCGAGACTTCCTCCCGTTTTACCTTGGACAGGCGCGCTACTCTTTCTCTCATCGGCGCCGCCCCCCAGCAACAACAACGCTCCCGCTCGAGACTTCCCCCCTTTCTTACTCAAGGCAGTGCTCTTGCTCGCCGCCGACAGCCCCCGTCCCGACAAAACCAGCGTTCCCGCCCGAGACTTCCTCCCGTTTTACCTTGGACAGGCGCGCTACTCTTTCTCTCATCGGCGCCGCCCCCCAGTAACAACAACGCTCGCGCTCGAGACTTCCTTCCTTTTTTGCCCAAGGCGGTGCTCTGTTCTCCTCCTCCTCCTCGTCCTCCTCCTCTTCCTCCTCCTCCTCCTCCTCGTCCTCTCAAGCCACTTGGGCCCGAACCATTTTGGCGGGGCTCATTCTCCTGTGCTTTCACGAAACGCTTGAGGGACTTTGCCCGCGCACCCCGCCGAGGAATTGCGCGGCACCGACAAGAGCAGGAGAGAATTCTTAGTATCCAATTGCAGCCATGGCGCCTGGTGCTCGACTGTTGTCTCGCTGTGCGTCATGCCAGACCTGCGAGTACAACAACGTCCTGACTCGTAACTTGTGCATCTGCGGTCACCGTGGGGAGGAAGTGTTGCTGTTTCGTCCGAAGTCCACCACAGGGCCGAAGGTGCAGCTCGATCTTCAGAATGAGAAGGAGGAGTCCGCCCTCGTGCACCCGAAGGGGATCCTCCGCGCCTCAAGGAGCTCTTCGCCAGCGCGCGGCCCGAGGGCTGGCGGCAAGAGCGGCCTAGGGCGTGGTAGTTGCAAGAAACCGCCGTGGCGCGAGCAGCCTACCGAGGACGGCAGCCCAGCTGAGGTCGCCTCCCTGTTGGCTCGCGCTGCGGCGGTCACATGTGATGACGCTTTCAAGAACACGCTGCAGCAGCAGGTCGTCAAGCTGGAGCGCGAGGCTGAGGACTCCAAGCAGCATGAGACTTCGGCCGTGGAGTTGCTACGACGTGCTGACGGAGTGTTTCGCGACGCGGATCACAAACACCCCCAGGCCGTGTCCAACGTGCTGCGCCTTCGAGGCTCCCTCGAAGCGGCGGAGCTCAAGGAGGCGGACTTGTCCAAGCAGCTGGCCCAGGCAGCCCTTGCCAGGAAGGCAGCGGCCGCGGCTGTGGCTCACGCAGAGGGCGTGGGTAGCGCTGCCGGGGCTGCTGGCGGCGACGCGGCCATGAAGGTCAACGATGACAAGCGTATATTTCATATATCATGGGATTCAGATTTCTTCAACAAGTTAGATGAGTTGGAGTGCGAGGAGGGCGAGCGCGCGGGCCTCAAGGATATCCACGAGCGCTTGCTGGCCACGGAGAAGGAGATGTCGGCCAAGGAGACCGAGGTGCGGGATTGGTTGACCCGCATGGAGAAGTATCGCGCTGAGATCGCCGAGCGCCTCGCGAAGAAACGGAAGGTGAACTCCGAGGATGGAGGTGCTGGTGGCGATGGCGCTGCTGCTGCACCTGGCGGCGGTGGCGGCGACGGGGCCCCTGCGGGCGAGCCCCGCGCTGAGGCGGCCAGCGGCGCAGCCGCCACGGCCGCTGCCGCCGCCGCCCCACAGGCTACAGCAGCCCAGGCGGCTGAGGTCGAGGCCGAGGCGCAGCGCCTCTCTGCAGCTAAGTTCATGGCGGAGCAGCACATCGGCAAGGGCGTGAAGGGCCAGAGGCAGAACGGCAAGGGCAGGGGCCAGTCGCCTGCAAGCGCGGCCACAGGAAGAGCATGCCAACGAGGGTGGAGAGTGGCTGCTCGCCAAGAATCATCTTCGTGCTCATTGTTTACCAGCTGTCCGAGCCGCGGGTTCACGGCTCGTGGCACCGTCGCACAAGGCGCTGGATGGCTTCCCTGTCATGCTCGTCCATTTCCAGGGATTCTCGGTCGCGATCATCACTTTCTACGCCTTCCACAGCATGGGGCTTGGAGGGGCGAGCGTAGGCAGATTTCAGCGACTGTCTGCATTGTTGCATGCCCTCCAGCTCCCATGGCTGGCCATTGGAGACTTCAATGTGAGCCCTGCAGCGCTGACCCAGACAGGGCCCCTGCAAAATATTGGCGGCATGATAGTGGCAGCAACTGTTGAAGCCACATGCCTTCTGTCCACTGGCACGCATATAGATTACATCAGGTGTAGTATTGCTGCTAGGCCTTTCATCCTACAGGTGCTTCCAATCGGGTCAGTCCCTTGGAGGCCCCACATTGGCTTGGAGGTGCAGTTTCGGAATACTGGGCAGCAGCTAGTCACTAGAGTTATGCAGGCTCCAGGACGTCTGCCCCGGGTTTCGCGCCCGTCGTGTTTGCCCACTGCTGGTTCGAAGTCAAGCGTAGCACGTGCGCGCAGGGTTGTGCAGCAGCAAGTAGCAGTGGCTTCTGGAAATGAAGAGTTTCGCGCCTTGTATGGGGACAGTGCTCAATCTCAAAGGGAACAGCCAGCGGAGGAGAGCTCGAGGGGCGAGCCCGCCTCTGTTGAGGCTGATGCTGTAAATTTTGATGAGCGCGAGTTTGGGTTTGAGATTTTTGAAGGGCTGCGGGACGATGGGGGTCCGTGGGCTCAGGAGCTCAATTTCTGTCCCGATTCTGGCCCCAACGCGGCCCTTCATGAAGGTATTTCTCACGCTGGGGGGTCCATGTGGTCCTGGGGTCCAGGGCTCTGGGTTGGGGGGGGGGGGGGGGGGGGCTTCCCTTGGCCCCCTCCCTGGTCTGCCTCCTAGGGGCGCTCAGTTGGTTGGCCGTCTGCCGACTGGCGTGATCCTGGGCTCCCAGCATCCAATTCGGCTCGGGGTCTCATAGGCTTCGGGCGGACGCTCTGGAGCTGCAAGTAGCTCGGAGACGGCCGACAGTAGCATGCAGCAGCAGGTCTCTTCCGAGCATGGGTCGAGTTCTGACCAGAATATCACAACCTTCCACATTCCTGGGGCCACGCGGGGGCGAGTCCGTCAGGGGGTAGGTTTGATGTCTGGCTCTCCGTCTCTTGACCCTCTTTGCCCTGCCCTGCGTTCCTCCGCATCATTTAGGCTCGCGCCCGCACAGTTGTCTCTAGTTTCAGGCCTCTACGCCAGTTGGGTGTCCTCTGTCGAGCCCACGATTGCCAGCCACCATGATGTCTCGCTGCCCGCGGGACCCCCCCACAACAGCAGGAGTACATTTCGTGGTGCAGGAGCTGAAGATGCCAGCCAGGAGCCGTGCCTCGCCCCTGCGCGATCGGCTGAGTTGCTGGTGGACGCAGCTACACACACTCCTGCACGCGCTGGCGCATCACCGTCGCAAAAACAGCGGGGAGGCCCAGCAACGTCGTTATCGTGAGTCGGTCAAGAGGCACGTTGAGACCTGTCCTGAGCGTGCACATACTGTTCTATTACCAGGCAAAGATCTCGAGTGGCATGAGTGGCAGGCTGCTCTTTCTGATATTGGTGCGTGCTCCGTGTGCAAGCTGGAGGGCCTCGTGCATGGGGCTGAACGGATCTGCAGTCGGGCTCAGAGGAGAGCCATCCAGCAGCCCTTGTGTGAGTTTCAGGAGCTTGTTGCCGGCGGGAAGTCGTTGGGGACATTGAATCGATCTCTGTGTCCTGCGCCTTTGGTGGATCTTGAGTATGGGCATCAGGGCCAGGTTCTTTGCCATCCCCGTGACATTATCGACGCCAGGTCAACTAAGTGGCACGACATGTGGGCGCCCACCCCACTCGATGAGGCCATGGCCAGAAGAGTTTTCCAGAAGGTCGAGGATGCTGTGGACGGTGGCCCGCTGCAGCCCATCAGTGTGCATGGCATCAGGGTGGCGCTGAGGCAGATGAAGGCATCCACGGGGCAGGGGATCGATTTCCTATCGCCAGTTGATATGGAGAGGCTGCCAGGCACAGCACTTGCTGAACTCGCGCTGCTCTTTGCAGCGCGTGAGGCTCGCTTG